GGCCCGGGAATGGAGTTCTGAGAAGTCCAAGAGCACGAAGTGGCCTGCAGTTGGCTCCGGGCATTCAAAATGTGGCCCGGGAGTGGAGTTCTGGGAGGTCGAAGAGCACGAAGTGTGCGACTGTTTGCTCAAAACGAGCCCGGCCCTGGCTTGTCCGGCTCCCGCCCAGACCCCCATGGGGAGTCATCAGATGCTCTCTTTTGACCCCATTAGAAACGTTTGAATTTTCGCCGTTCGGTAAATAAACTTTTTCGCTGTCGGGGGCGCCTGTCCCAGGGCGGCCGGAAAGTTTATACCCTTGCGGTGGCACCGTGGGGGTATAACCTTGCCAGCCGCCCAGGGACAGGCGCCCCCGACGGCGAAACAGTTTAGGGGGAATGTTTTTCTTCGTGTGTATTTCTTTGTGTGTCCTGGGGCCCCTTCAGGGGGGGGGGACAAAAACCCAGGAAATATGGGAGAATAGGGGGAATCTTGTCATTCGTGTGCATTTCTTTGTGTGTCCTGGGGCCCCTTCAGTGGGGGGGGGCGGCCCGGCGCCGCCTCTGCCGAGGGGCCGCCGCGGCGCCCGGGCACCGTGCCACCGGGGGCGGCCGCCGCCGCCCCCTGCAGAGGGGCCGCCGCGGGGGCCGCGGCCGCGCCCCGGCCAGGGTTGCTTTCGATCCCTCGTAGGTCGAGCCTGTCCCCAGGGAGAGGCTCGACCTAAGAGAGATCGAAACAGTAACAAATATTCAACAATAGTAAACAATAGAGCTCTACAGGGGGAAGATTCGAAAGTAGTAAACAAAACAGTCTGGGGACGATGTTTCGAGTATTTGTTGAATATGTTTTCCTATTTGTTGCGTATTTTCGAGTTTTCGTCGAATATCGGCCTGTCGGGGGACAGGCCCGACGTAAGATTCCTCCGATGTGATTCGATCTGAGTTCGATGGCCTCCGATTCCGATTCGCTTCGATCTCGGACCCCGACTCGAGGCCCGCCGACCTCTCTCCTTGGAGGCCTACTATACACCAGCCTGCGGCTTCCCGCCGAGCCGACTCCTCCCGACTCGGTCGTCGAGCGTCCCCGATCCGCTTCATTCTAGGCTTCCTAAATGGGGTTAGATGGGGTCGGAGGATCGCGCCGCATCGCCGATGCATCGACGATGCGGCTCGATGTGGAGCCCGTGTTTCCCCACGCCGACGTTGCCAATGCATCGCCGACGTCGCCGATGCATCGCCGGTGCATCGCCGATACATCGCCGATGTATCGGCGATGCGTCGCGATCCTCCGACACCATCTGTTCCGATCCCATCTAGGAGGCCTCTATTCATTTCGATCGCCGATGCTGCCCGGCCGGAGCCCGACCTGCCGTGTGCCTTTAGAGGAGAATCTTCAAACATAGTCAAAAAATAGGCAGGGGAGGATGTTTCATTTTTTGTTAGCCAATTTGGGACATCTTTTGGCTATCTTTTATTTTTCGTTCAAACTCCCCCTGTAGGAGGACAGGCCCGACGTAACTCTGGGCCCCCCTGCCCGGCTGGAGCCCGAGCTGGCGCCCGCACCCGCGGGGCTACGAGGCCTCGCTGCGCCGGGCCCACACGTCGAGTGCAGGGGAGCGATTCCAGCATCGATTTGTGCCCCAACGTCGACTTCTTCGTCGCATCTGCGGGCAACAATGCGCAGAAAGTTCGTAGATCTACGAGCATGACGCGTAGATCTGTTCGTGCACTCGACGAGAAAAACAAGTCTGGGGGACAGCTGCATCAGTGCGGTGGTCGAGCCCCTGCTCGAAGTCGGCCGCGGCGCTTCGGCTGGGCCGTGCCGTGCCCGGGAGCGTGCGGCGGGCCTGCCATAGGGAAACAAAAAGTGGCATGGACATAAACACTCGGAGGTCCGCGCGGATTTCTCGGCTCGGCGATCGGGACCCCCGGCGGCGCCTCCGGCGCCGCCCCTGGCGCGCTCCGCGCGCCAGGGAGGGGGGTCCAGCGCCGATCCGAGAAATCCGCGCGGACCTTGGAGTTTTTAATGTCTATGCCGCTTTTTTGCTCCCCTAGGCTATAGGGCCTCGCGCGGCCTGCGGCCTCGAGGCCCGAGTGCCGCACTCGGGGGGCCCTCGCCCTCGCCCTCGAGGGCCGACCCAGGCCCCGCCGCCGCCCCGCTGCCATCGACTGCACGTGAGAGTGACCTTTCGCTTGGCATCGCTCGGACGTGTGCCTGTGCCCTTCGGCGAGGGCCATCGAGGAGCATCCCTGATCCCTTGGCGGAAAAACCACGCACGAGACTGGAAAAAGCAGAAGAAATGGACGTCCGAGCGATGGCCAGTTCGCCGGAGTGACCTCTGGTGCGGGCACAGATGGCCCCCAGATGGCTGAAAGCGAAGCGGCAGCAGCGGCTTGCGCGCAGAGGTTTGGTCTCCCCGCGGCCCCCACGAAGCCGCGCACCAAGGGTCGCTCTTGCCCAGGGTCGCTCTTGCGTGCAGCCGATGCCAGCGCGCCAGGGCGCTCCTCTCCGCCGCCCCCGCGGTGGCCCCTCGGGACGCTTTGCGAGCACCAGCTGCCCCGGGCGCCCGCACGGGCACCCGCGCGCCCTGCGTCGGGCGGCGGCGTCACGAGCGCCGGGGCCCCCCCGGGTGCCTTCAGGAGCTCGCCGGCGCGGGGGGCGCGCCTTGGAGCGCCTGGAGCCAAGTCGGGCGCGTCCCTCTACACAAGGGATGCTCCAACAAAATAGTCAAGACATAGCCTGGGGACGATTCTTGGGAGTATGGTTCGACCCTGCTGGGGTATCTTCGGACTCTTGTTTCTTCTTGGTCCAAGATTCCCCTGCAGGAGGACAGTCGGGAGGAGAAAAAACACACAGACACAATCAATCGTCGATTCCCCCGAAAGTATGGAAGATATGGGAAGTGGGAGGGAAGGCAAAAACCCAGAAAATATAGGAAAATGTGGGGAATCCTGCTTTTTGTGTGCATTCATTTGTGTGGCCCGGGGCCCCTTCAGACGGGCCCGACCGAAGAGCCCGGAGGCGCGGCCCCTGCCGGCGGGGCCGCCCGGGCGCCGCAGGGCGGGGGGAGAGGAGCGCCGCGAGCGCCGTCGCCCGGGCGGCCCTCGAGGCGGGGCAGCGAGCCGCCGCTCCCGCGCGGCGGGGGCCGCGCAGGTGGCCCCCTGTCCTCCTCCTCCTCCTCCTCCTCCTCCTCCTCCTCCTCCTCCTCCTCCTCCCCCTCCCCCTCCTCCTCCTCCTCCTCCTCCCCCTCCTCCTCCTCCTCCTCTTCCTTCTCCTCCTCCCCCCCTCCTCGCCCTCCCCTCCTCGGGTCGCCTACGGCCCCGGGGGAAACCGTCCAGGTGGCCCCCTATCCTCCGACGAAACATACTCGCTCTGTTCACTTGTTCATCAGCGCCGCCGCATCCGTCGGGCGTCTCCCGCTGCACCCCTTGGCATCGCTCGGACGTGTGCATGGTTCTCTCGGCGAGGACCAGCGAGGAGCATCCCGGATCGTTTGGCAAAAAAAACCACGCACGGAGCCGAACAAAAAACAGCGAGATTGGACGCCCGAGCGATGGCCCTCGAGGGGGGCACCGAGCCGCCGCGCCTGCGCGGCGGGGGCTGCGCAGGTGGCCCACCATCCGCGCCGCCGCATCCGTCGGGCGTCTCTCAGGAGGGAAAACTAACACGCAGACACAATGAATCTTCGATTCCCCCGAAAATATGGGAAAGGATGGGCAGTGGGGGGCAAGACGAAAACCCAGAAAACACGGGAAGATATGGGGAACCTTTTTATTTGTGTGTATTTGTTTGTGTGTCCTGGGGCCCCTTCAGTCCCCCGGGAGCTGCAACGGACTGGGGGGCTCTATTCCTGGGCCGGCCGAGCCGGGGCGGCGCGCAGTTGCGGGCAGCCCTTTAATCAAGCAGCGGCGAAGCGTCCAGGCTCGCCTACAGCCCCACCAAACAATGTTCTAAGGACTTTTTTTGTGGTTCCCACGAAGTGTTCTTAGAACATTTCTGGCTGGGAGTCTGTCTTGTGTTAGCGCATCGGGTTTATGTTCTAAGAACTCTGTTGTTGTTCTTGGAACATTTCTGGGTTCTCAGAACATTTCGTGGTAGGACTATAGGAATGCCGGGCCGGTCGGTCCCTGCTCAACTATCCGCGCCACCGCATCCGTCGGGCGTCTCCCGTTTCACCCCGACCTGCGCGGAGCGCCGAAAGCTCGGCCGCTCCTCGCTCGCGGGCTCTGGGTCGCAGAGCGCGGGGAAAGGTCCATCCGGCCACCCTTCGAGTTGCGCCGCGGGGTACTGCTCGCCCGCCGTCTGGTGGCCGCCCTTGTGGAGTTTGGCTGCTAAGGGGCGGGTTCTCCGCATGGCGTCCTGGTCCATGCCATTCTGGGCATTCAGGCTAGCCACCCCCGCCAGAAAGCCTTAGTCGGCGAAGCGTGCGACGTAGCCGGCGTCCATGTGCCGTCCACGGCGGTGGGTTTAGGGGGAGCTCATCCTGCCCAGGCCAACCTCTCGATGCGGCAGTTGTGGTCGTGGTCCCAGGTGCCGCCCCAAGTCATCTCCCACAGGTTGCCAGGGGACGTGAAGGTGCAGGGGTCGGGCCAACCATGCGAATGTTGCCTGTCGCCCTGGAAGTGGTGGGGCTCGCTGAGAAGGTGGTCGATGTCGTCGCAAGGTTTCTGGCACAGTTCGCAGCGCCACCTCCACCTTCCGCCAAAGTGCGCCCACCGTAGCCAGGGGCAGTACCCAGCCAGGAAAGCACGCTTCCCATCTCTTAGCGGGGGGCCGTCGTCGGGACAGGGCAGACAGGATAGGGGGAACAGGAGGGGCAGCGGATGGGCGGGGGGGGTGGGGAAGGGGGAAGGGAGGAGGGGAGGGGAAGTGATGGCAGGTAGGAGAGGGGAGAAGGGGTGGAGGGGTGGGGGAGGGGAGGTGGGGGAGGGGAGGGGGAGGTAGTGGGGGGGGGGAGGGGAGGGATATGATGGGGAGTGGGGGGGCACGGGCGGCGGGCGGTGGGCGGGAAGCGCCGCCGAGGTCGGCGTCAAGCTCTCCCTCAAGTTTTCCTGGCTTCGTGCCGGATCAAGCATTGCACGGCGAGCTGGCGGATCTGGACGCCCGAAATGGGTGCGGAAAGAATGGGCACCAGGCCCAACAGCAGTTCCTGTTCGTTTTGAACAGGATTATCTGTCCACGCCGCCGCGGCCCGTGTCCATTCGAGACACAAGGCCGCCTGCCCAACAGCGGCCGCCGTTGGTTTGGGACAACATTGATTGTTGGGCATTGTGCCCATTCTTTCCGTACCCATTTCGGGCGTCCAAAGCGGAGGGGTCGCATCTCTCTCTCTCTCTCTCTCGCTCTTTGTCAGGCATTTTTCCGAGCCGTCCTTCGGTGTTGGTTTCTCGCGCAAAAGGCACAGCGCCCGGCGTCCTCCTCCACCTCCTCCCATCCTCGCCTGTCTTTGGCATGTTTTTTTTTGGCACACAAGTCACACGCTTCGTGGCCCCACAGGGAGGTCCACCGAAGGCCCCAGTGGGAGGGTCCACATGCGGTTCCCCACCCTTTTCAACACGCCGTTCATTCGCTTCGTGGCCCCACAGGGAGCTCCTCCGAAGGCCCCAGGTCCACATGCTGTTCCCCACCCATGTCGGCACATCCTTCACACGCTTCGTGGCCCCACAGGTTGCTCCACCGAAGGCCCCAGTGGGAGGTTCCACATGCGGTTCCCCGCCCATTTCGGCACATCCTTCAAGCGCTTGGTGGCCCAGCAGGGAGCTCCACCGAAGGCCGCAGTGGAAGGGTCCACATGCGGTTCCCCACCCATTTCGGCACACCCCTCCTTCGCTTCGTAGCCCCGCAGGAGCTCCATCGAAGGGCCCCAGTGGGAGGGTAAAAATGGGGTTCCCAACCCATGTCGGCACACCCCTCCCTCTCTTCGTTGCCCCGCAGGGGGCTCCACGAAAGGCCCCAGTGGGAGGGTCCACATGCTGTTCCCCTCATGTGGGGGGGGGCGCATCCTGTTATCCCCCCTTTCGGCACATCCTTCGCACGTTTGGTGGCCCCATACGGAGCTCCACTGAAGCCCTCATGGGGGGGGATGGTCGCGTGCGGTTCCTCAGCCTATTCCAGCACACCCCTAACTCGCTTCGTGGTCCACTAGGGAGCTCCACCGAAGGCCCTCGTGGCACAGCTCGCTTGCGTTCCCAGACCTATTTTGCAACACCTCTCAAGCGGAACGTGGCCCCATACGGGAGCTCCACCGAAGGCCCCAGCGGGAGCGTCCGCATGCGTCCCAGAGCCCTTTTCAGCACGTCCCTCACACGCTCGTGGACCCACATGGAGCTCCACCGAAGGCCCCAGCGGCATCGCCCGCATGCGTCCTCAGGCCCACGTCGGTACAGCCCTAACACGTTTCGGGGCCCATCGGGAACTCCACCGAATGCCGCAGTGGCATCGCCCTCATGTGCTACCGGGCACACTTCGGTACACCCCTCACACGTCAAGTGGCCCCCCGGTGATCCACTGAAGGCGATACACATGTGCGGTATACACAACTGCTTCACCAGGATGGACGTCTTTTTTGTGTTGTTTCTCTCTCTCTCTATTCCTCTGTTTTTGTTTTTCTATCTATATCTCTATTTCTCTTTCTTTCTCTCCTTGTCCTCTCTATCGCGGTCTCTCTTTTTTTTTTTCTCTCTCTCTCTCTCGCTCTATATATATATATATATATCGCTCTCCTTTTCGCTTTTATCTCAGTGTTCGTTTGTCCTGTCTCTTCATGAATGTGTTAGCCACTTTACGCCGAATAGTGTCGCAGCAGGCCACACGGGTACGTCTGTTTCGTAATCCTCAAGGCTCAAGCAGGCCCCAGCCTAAGCAGTTTCTTCGGGCCGCGATCCCCGACCTGGCTAGAGGCCTCTGCGACACAATACTTCCTTGGACTCAGCAATCCCCACCGTGCCCTGACTACGTCCGAGGTGCACCGCGTTTGTCCTCAGCAGGAACCTGCGCAGTATAAAGAGGTCATCCACGAGCGGTCCACCCCGTTCGGGCAGACCTGTATCATCATATCGGCGTTTGTGACGAGCATCGCGGTTGAGCTTCGGATGGGCCGGTACCAACGTCAGTCCTGTGGGAAGCGCCAGCCGGAGTCAGCTGGACTTAGGCCTCGCGCTCCAGATGGTGAAATGCACATTCCAGTTCAGGAGGACACGGACATCACGGCGCTTGCCCGTCACCCGTCGGCTACGGTCCGGCAGCGGCAGGCACTGCGTTTGCAGCGATGCTGGCCCCAGCGGCTGGTGCCCACCGTCTCGGGCCTCATGGACCCGGCGCGACCCCAAGTTTCCGATTGCATGGGCGCAGTGCTTGACATTGCTTGGCATTAGTTGGCATTGCTTGGCACGAGGCACCTGGGGAACCCGGAGAGCCCGGGGAACCCAGGACCTAGGGAACCCCGGGAACTCCCGGGAACCCAGGGAACCACCTCCGAGGAACGGGCAAAGTAAGCCCCCGAGGCAACCATTTTTAACCAAGTAAGAACCCCTCAGGCAAGCCTAATTGGGGAAAAACGAGGAGGTCGCCGCGATGCAGTCTTCTGATTGGCGTGGCGGTGGTGACACCAGACTGCGACGAGCATGGAAGAGCAGCTCACGATCGGGCCCGACGTTGTCGAATGGTGCCCGATCGCCGGCCCGACTGGCATCGTGTCTCGTGCTGGCCCAGGGGTGGCCTACGACCGTTAAGTCGGGCCTGTCCCTCTACAGGAGGAATATTCCAGGGGTGAGTTGTTGATTCTCCTGTGACTCTTCTTGGTTGTTGTTTGAATATTTCCTATTATTCGCCCAAAGTCCGCCTGTAGGGGGACACGCCCGACCTAACACTACGGGTGCCGAGCGCTGCCGATTGCTGCGCAGTTCACCGCCGCCATGGGCGGCAGGTTCTACACTCGCATGGGCTTCGCCCCGCCCGCCGGCGACGTGCGCCCGGTGCTGGGGGGGCTGCTCCTGCGGCCTGCGCCCCTTCGAGGGGGAGTCGCCGTCCCGGGAGGGCCGCCAGCGGCGGCGGGGGGTCCCATCGTCGTCGTCGTCGGTCGTCGTCGGGCCCCTGTCCCCCTACACAGGCGGATGTTGGACGAAAAATGAAAGAAATAGTCAAAAAACTCGCCTGGAGACGATTTTACGATTTGCCGGCTATACGTTTGATCATTGTTTGACTACTTCTTAGTTTTCGTCCAAAATCCGCCTGTAATGGGACATACATGGAGGAGGAGGAGGAGGAGGAGGAGGAGGAGGAGGAGGAGCAGGAGGGAAGAGGAGGAGGAGGAGGAGGAGGAGGAGCAGAGGAGGAGGGGGAGAAGGAGTCCTCTAACTCTAGGTGGGGCGCCTGGGTGGGCTCTCATCCCCGGAGCGGCCCCTGTGGTCCCGGGGCCCGCCGCGGTCGCCCTCAATCCTGCGCCAGGTGCCGGCGGACGCGCTCCCCGCCGCCCGGGAGAGAGCGCCTCAAACATTTTGAACGTCTCCTTCACCTCCTCCGCCTCCTCCTCCTCCTCCTCCTCTCCTCCTTCCCTCCCTCCTCGTCCTCGTCCTCCTCCTCCTCCTCCTCATTCTCCTCCTCCTTCTCCTCTTCCGCCTCCTCCTCCTCCTGCTCCTCCTCCTCCTCCTCTCCTCCTCCTCCTCCTCCTCCTCCCCCTCCTCCTCCTCCTCCTCCTTCTCCTCCTCCTCCTCTTCCTCCTCCTCCTCCTCCTCCTCCTCCCTCCTCCCTCCTCCTCTTCTTCCCCTCCTCCTCCTCCTTCTGCTCCCCCTCCCCCTTCTCCTCCCCTTCCTCCTCCTCCTCCTCCTCCTCCTCCTCCTCCTTCTCCTCCTCCTCCTTTCCCTCCTCCTCCTCCCCCTCCTCCTCCTGCTCCTCTTCATTCTTTCCTTTCTCTCCCTTCGAAACCTTGCAGAGGTCTTTCAACGCCTCTGGACGTCATTTTGGATGCTTGCATTACTGGCAAAAGCACCGAGCGATCTTCGAACGCCTCTCTGCTACATCCTCCTCCTCATCCTCCTTCCCTTCCACCCCTCCCTCCCCCACCCACCCGCCACCCTTCCCTCCCTCCCCTTGCTCCCCGTCGCGCCCCAGGCAAGCTGCGCTCCCTCGGGCGGCTTCTGCTCATAGTGGGCCAGAAGCTGGTGGAGGCTTCGTCTACGCGTGCGTTGTGGCTGGACACGAGCCTCGTGGTCAGCGACGAGGAGCTCGGGCCTGCCGTCAGGGGGAGCATGATTGTGTACACGTGTTTCAATATAGCCTTAAGTCGGGGGTGCACCTTTACAGGAGGAATATTCAAAATGATCAGGAAATAGTCAGGGGGCGACTTTTGGCCTATGTTTGGCTATGTTTGAGCATTGTTGGTCTATTTCTAATGTTTCGTCCAAAATCCGCCTCTAGGAGTACGTAATTAGGCGACCTAAATCTGGCCTCATTGTGACGAGCACACGGTTCTGACATGGCTGTTCCAGGCATGCGTGATGTCGATCCGCATCAGCGATCCATGAGCTTGCCAACCGGGCGTTTGCCGTGTTCTCGAACCGCGACCTCGCGCGGAAGCGAGCCCGGTAGGTCTGCCTGAGACGCTCGCTGGCGAGGCGACGGGCATCGCTCCGCAAGGCGGCGATGTGAGACTCTGTGGAAAATCACAAAAAAACACTGAGGGACAAACACGCACACACGCACACACACACACACACACACGCACACGCACACGCACACGCACACGCACACGCACACGCACACGCACACGCACACGCACACGCACACGCACACGCACACGCACACGCACACGCACACGCACACACGCACACGCACACGCACACGCACACGCACACGCACACGCACACGCACACGCACACGCACACGCACACGCACACGCACACGCACACGCACACGCACACGCACACGCACACGCACACGCGCACCGCACACGCACCCGCACCCGCACCCGCACCCGCACCCGCACCCGCACCCGCACCCGCACCCGCACCCGCACGCACGCGCACGCGCACTCGCACTCGCACGCTCACGCGCACGCGCACGCGCACGCGCACGCGCACGCGCACGCACGCACGCACGCGCGCGCACACACACACAGTGGGAAAAAGCACACCTAAACCTACCCTCCCACCCTAGACTGTGTGCTTTTTCCCCACAGACACAGTGAGTTGTTTTCCCACATGTGTGTTTGTTTGTGCGTTTTTTTCCCACTGTGTGTGTGTGTGTTTTTTCCCATCGCTGTATCGATTGACTGATTTGGGAGCTGCAACGGGCTGGGGGGCTCTGTTCCTGGGCCGGCCGAGCCGGGGTGGCGCGCGGTTGCGGGCAGCCTTTTGCAGTCAAAAACCCTAAATAAGGACGCGCGGGCTTTGCTCAGGGTACCCTTGTGTCCTTGCCCTTCCTTGCTCTTGCGCCCTTGAGGATTTCGCCGCTCGCCGCCCCAGAAAGCCCAACTTCGGCTCCCAAGGGTCTTGCGTCCTTACCGGGCGTCCTTATCAGAGCTTTTGACTGTAATCAAGCAGTGGCGAAGCGTCCTGGCTTGCCAATAGGCCCGCCAAAACATGTTCTAAGAACCTTTTTGTGGTCTGCACGGAGTGTTCTTAGAACATTTCTGGCTCAGACTGTTTCGTTTCAACGCATCGGGTTTATGTTCTAAGAATATTGTTTTTGTTCGCGGCAGGCCTATAGGAATGCCGGGACGGTCCGTCCCTGCTCAATGTAAATTACACTCGAGAAAACCCAATCAGTGGATGACTTGAAAATTGATACTATGGATCTTGAGATCGACTGTGAGATCGATAATGAGATCGATAGTGGAATCGATAGTGAGGACGATTGTAAGGTCGATCGTGAGACCGAGATTGAAATCGATTCGATGAGATCGATAGTGAGATCGATCGCGAGATCGCTCATGCGATCTCTAGTGATATTGCTTGTGAGATTGATAGTGATATCGATTGTGAGATCGATGGTGAGATCGATGGAGAAGTCGGTAATGAGATCGATGGTGAGACCGATCGATAAGAAGATCGACCAGGAACCCGGGAACCCGGGAACCTCGCCGCCCTCCGAGATCGGCCCAGAACCCGGAACCGGGAAACCGGGAACCCAGAACCGGGAACCCAAATCGGCCCGGAACCCGGAACAGGGAACCCGGGAACCTGGAATTGGGAACCCGGGATCCCAGGAACCCAGCTTGCCACCAACATCGGCGGGGAACTTTCGACAACTCCTTCAACATCCGCTAGGACCCCTTCAGTGCAAGCATTGATTGGGGAACAATGGATACGAGAGGACATGTAGGAGGAAGATGAGGGGAATAGGGGGAGGAGTGGACGGAGTGGAGGAGTCGGATTGTGGGGGCGGGGGGTCCTCACCGTGTTTCTGCTGCTCCCCCTCGAGGCTTTATAATATTTGCCAGCGCGGTCCCCACCAACGTTCGGTAATTGCGCTCTCGATGTGCAGTCCACGTGGTGCAAGAGGTATGGTGCAAGCTGCGTGGTGCAACCGATCATGAAGGATTTGGAGTCGTCTAATCCGCTGCTCGCGCAAACATCGTATCCTCCCACCCGCAGCTATCACCGCCCACCAAACCACCCCAACCCAACTCGAAGGGCACGATTTGCCCTCCATTTCCAGGGGGGGGGGTCGGGGAACATAGAAAAAACGCGTGGAACCCGTACCCCCCCAACCCGAAATTCGGGTCAAATTCGGGTCTTTTGGTTGGGTTGGGGTGGTTTGGTAGGTAGTCAAATTAGTTTTGCAAAACACATGCAGCCTCGATGGCGGCGACAGCTTGGCACCAGCCAGCGCGTCTCTGCGGCCGCGCTGGCGCGCGCAAGCTCGCGCGCAGAGCGCCCGGCGCCTAGAGGAGGAGGATACTGCGGAGGCGGAGGCAGAGGCGGAGGAGGAGGGGGAGGAGGAGGAGGAGGAGGAGGAGAAGGAGGAGGAGGAGGAGGAGGAGGAGGAGGCACAGGCGGAGGAGGAGGGGGAGGAGGAGGAGGAGGAGGAGGAGGAGGAGGAGGAGGAGGAGGCAGCGCAGGAGGAGCAGGAGGAGGACCCGCTTCGGCCTGGGCCCGGACGGCAAGAAGCGCCCCCATCCCCGAGGTGCTGCACGTCAGCGGCACCGCGCTGCAGGGCGCTGCCAAGGCCGGGCCTCCGGCCTCAGCCCGCCCCGCTGCCCCCGACCCTGACCATCGATCCTGATTCTCCTTGGCCTCCGTGGGCGAGAAGCACACACGCATCCGCGGACTCGCAGGCCAGGCCCCGGGGCCGCGACGCCGCGGGTATGGGGCGCGTCTGTTTTCGGGAATGCCCCCCGCGCGCGACGTATCCGTGCGACCGCGTATCCGCGGGATCGCGCTCGGGAGTTTAGACCGAGGGGGCGGGTACGGATCTGTTCGCCGCTCGTGGCTCCTGGCAGGGCCCGCTGCGACTCCATCGACCCGATGCCTTACCAGCTTCGCCGGCTAGATCCGATTCGACTTCGCTACCCCAGCGATCCAGTGCGGTTCGATGTTTGCACGACGCTGTTGTGCATCCGGGAGCAGATCCCCCTCCACGTCCCCGCCGTCATCGGCCTCCTTCCTCCGTCCTCCTCCTCCACCTTCCCCTCCCGCCCCTCCCCGCCGTCATCGGCCTCCTTCCTCCGTCCTCCTCCTCCACCTTCCCCTCCCGCCCCTCTTTTTTTTTTTCTCTCTCTCTCTCTCTCCCATCTGCTGTCTGCTGATCCTCCTCCTGCGCACTGCGATGAATCAATGACGTGCGCGCGGCCCTGCTCCATGGGTCAATGCTTTCCCGTCCCCGTGGAGGCGGAGCAGTTCGGCAGTCTCCGGCGATTTGGGGGGCATGGTCTCGGAGGTTCCCAGCGGTTCTGGAAGGTCCCAGTGCGTTCGGGAGCTCCCCGAAGGTCTACAGGGCGAGGGGGAGGCTGCAGGAGGATAAGGAAGAGGACGGGGGGGCAGGAGGCGGAGGAGGAGAAGGAGGATGAAGAGGAGGAAGATAAGGAAGAGGAGGGGAGGAAGACGGGGATGACGAGGAGGAGGATAGGAGAAGCAGGGGGAGGAAGAGGAAGGAGGAGAAGCGCCACCAGAGTGAATTCGACTTGCATCAGCGACGCGTGCTGCAATACACCCTCCCGTCCCGAGTCTCCTCAGTAGCAGACATGTCCTGTCACTGCGCGAATCGTCGAGTTCCAGTTCATTCCCGTCGCCTTCATCTCCAGCCTTTGGCCGATCGTAGCGCCATTCGACCTCCACTTCGGGAGGACTGGAGCTCGTGGTCGGCCTCATCGTCGTGTCGCGAGTTCGGGCGTCGTTCACTGGGGACGGGGATCACGTCTTCGACTTCTGGCTCGGATCCGTTCGCTTCGCTTGTATCCTTGTGGCGGCTTGCTGCTCCGACTCGGAGTTTGTCATGTTGGCGTCGGGCTGGAGGTGATCTCCAGAGAGTTTCCGTCGCACCGCGGTCGTGCTTTCGGTTTGGTGCGCGTGATTCTACTCTTAGGTATGCTTGGGGTGTTGAAGTTTTTCTTGTGGAGGAGTTCTTGGTCATCGGCTTCGCTTTCGGGCTCTGTTTCATCATCGAGCGCTTGTCCATGGTTCTTTCTCTCCTGCCTAGCTGTGACAGGGCGCGCGCGTCGCACACTCCTTACTAAAGGGGGGGGGCCAGTTTCAAGCTACCCCCCCACCCTGGAAAAGCGAGGAGGGGACTTCCGAAGCTCCATCCCCTCCCCCCTTTTGTGGAATTGTTTGGCTGGGGGGCCCCAGCTAAAGGCAGAGAGGGGGCTTGGAAGCTGACCCCTCCCCCTGCCCCTCTTTTTGGGGCCCAGTGTCAGCTCGGGCTCTCCTTTCAGGGGGGGGGGCTTCCGAAGTTACCCCCTCTCCTTTCATTTGGATATTGTAGCTGGGGGGTCCCTGGCTAAAGGGGGGGGGCCAGTTTCAAGCTACCCCCCCACCCTGGAAAAGCGAGGAGGGGACTTCCGAAGCTCCATCCCCTCCCCCCTTTTGTGGAATTGTTTGGCTGGGGGGCCCCAGCTAAAGGCAGAGAGGGGGCTTGGAAGCTGACCCCTCCCCCTGCCCCTCTTTTTGGGGCCCAGTGTCAGCTCGGGCTCTCCTTTCAGGGGGGGGGGCTTCCGAAGTTACCCCCTCTCCTTTCATTTGGATATTGTAGCTGGGGGGTCCCTGGCTAAAGGGGGGGGGGTGGAAGCTACCACCCCCCTCCCCTCCTTCTCGGGGCCCAGGGTCAACCCGGGCTCTTTTTTCCAAGCGGGGGGGGGCTTCCAAAGGTCCCCCCCTTCCCCTCATTCTGTTGGCTTTTCCAGCTGGAGGGCCCTGGCTGAGGGGGGGCTTCGAAGCTACTTTTCTTCTTTGGTTTTCGGCGCCCCGTTGGTTTTCGGCGTACTTCTGGTTTTCGGTGTCTCTTTGGTTTTCGGCGCCTCTTTGGTTTCGGCGCCCCGTTGGCCTTTGGTGCCCCTTTGGTTTTCGGCGCCCCTGAGGTTTTCGGCGCTCCTTTGGTTTTCGGCACTCCTTTGGTTTTTTGTCGCCCCTGTAGTTTTCGGCGCTCTTTGGTTTTCGGCGCCCCTTTGGGTTTTCTGCGCACCCTTTGTTTTTCGGCGCCTTTTCGGCGCCCCTTTGTTTTTCGGCGCCCTTCGGCATTCGTCCGTTGGTCGGTTTCGCCATTCGGCATTCGAGTTTGTGTTTTTTCGCGTCCGTTGGTTTTCGACGCCCTTTTGGTTATCGGAGCTCCTTTGATTTCTCGGCGCATCGTTGGTTTTCGGCGCATCGTTGGTTTTTGGCGTCCCCTTGGTTTTCAGCGCCTCTATGGTTTTCGGCGCCCCTTTGGTTTTCGGCGCCCCTGCGGTTTTCGGCGCCCTTTGGTTTCGAACGCCTTTATTGTTTTCGCCTTTCTGTCTGTCTTCGGAGCTTCTGTTGTTTCCGGCGCCCCTTTCGTATTCGGCGCCCTTTTGGTGATTATCGGCGCCCCTTTTGGTTTTTCGGGGTCCGTGTGGTTTTCGGCGCATCGTTGGTTTTTTGGGCTCCTTTGATTTTCGGCGCTCATTTTGGTTTTCGGCGCTGCTTGGGTGTTCGGCGCCGCTTTTGTTTTCGGCGCTGGTTGGGTGTTCGGCGCCGCTTTCGTTTTCGGCGCTGCTTGGGTGCTCGGTGCCCCGATGGTTTTCGTGCTCCTTTTGGTCTTCGGTGCCCTTGTGGTTTCCGGCGCATCTTTGGTCTTCGCCGTCCTTTTTATGTGTTCGGCGTTTCTTTGGTTTTCGGTCTCTGCTCGTTTTGTGCCCCCTTGGTTCTCGGCGCCCCTTTCATTTTCGACGCCCGTGCGGTTTTCGGTGCTCCTTCCGTTCTCGTCGCCTTTGTGGTTTTCGGCGCCCCTTTGGTGTTCGGCGCTCCTTCAGTTTTCGGCGCCGTTTTGGTTTTCGGTTTCTTTTGGTTTTCGGCGCGCCTTTGGTTTCTGGCACCGTTTTGGTTTTCGGGGCCTTTTTGGTGTTTGGCGACCCTTTGGTTTTCGGCCCCCTTTCGGTTTTCGGCGCTCCTTCTGTTGTTTTCGGCGCTCCTTTGGTTTTCGGCGCCTCTTTGCTGCTTTTCGGAGCCCTTCCGGTTCTCGGCGTTCCTTAGGTTTTCGGCGCGCCTTTGGTTTTCGGTGCCCTCTCGGTTTTTCGGTGGCCCTTTTGGTTTTCGGCTTTTGGTTGGTTTTCGGCGCCCTTTTGGTCTTCGGCGCCCCTTCCTTTGGTCAAAGGGGGGACGGCTTCCAAGCCCCCCCCCCTCTTTAGCCAAATTGGGGGAGGGGGAGGGCGGGCTTCCGGCAGGGGGGGTGCAAAGGGGGGGTGGATTGCTAAGCCGGCCCCCTCCTTGGAAAGGGGGGGTAGCTTCCAGAGCGCACAAGGGCGGGGGAGGCGGGTAGCTTCCGAGGGTCGGGAAGGGAGGGGGGAGGGAGGATTCCGGCAAGGGGGGTTCAAGGGGGTGGGAGTAGCTAAGCCCCCCAACCCTCCTTTTGGGAAAGGGGGGATGGGGCGGTAGCTTCCAGAGCGCGAAAGGGGGGGAGGGGGGCTAGCTTCCGAGGGGCCGAAAAAAGGGGGCAAAGGGTGGGGGGATTTCGGGCAGGGGAGGTCCAAGAGGGGGTGGGGTGTAGCTAGGGGGGGACCCCCCCAATACCTTCGGGAGTGTGCGATGGGCGCTCTCTCTTCTGCGAGTGCAGCTCACGCTCTTGAGTGTCAATGGCGTGGTCGGTCCAAGTACGTCTGGTACTACAGTCGGCCCGGATTAGTAGGTCGACCCTGCCAGCTCAAGAGTACCCTTGTGTCCTGTGCCTCGCGACACGTGCCTTCTTACACTCCTGTGGTGATGTGGCCCTCGGAAGGGTCTTGTGTCCTCTCGCGTGTCCTGTCCAATCAAGGCCGACTGTATTTGGGGGCATTCGACTGCTTCGCGAAGCATATGAGGGCGCCGGCGCGGTGCGCGCGGGCTGGCTCAACGACCCTCATGGCAGTTCACATGCAGGAGGATTTCGAGCAGAGGTCCCTGTGGGATTCGGCGCCCCTGCCGGCGCAACCTCTGCTTAGGATTTGCGCGCGCAGGCAGTGCTAACATACGTTGCTGCACACCGCGCCCCGTCTGAATACGAGCACCCTGGGGGCCCGCAGTGCAGGTGGGCACCCTCTCGCGAGCGAAATTGCCTTCCGCCCTTCGCCAGGACTATGTCGGGCCTGTCCCTCTACAGGGGGGAAAATTCAAAATAGTTTTAAAATAGTCCGGGGACGATTTTTTGTAATTTGTTTTTGACTATTTTGGTATATCTTGGGAGTCTTTAATTTTTCGCCCGCAATCCCCCTTTAGGGGGACAGGCCCGACCTAACGCCAGGACTTTGTGATTCAGCCTTCCGGCCGCACTCTGATCGAGCCCCGAACGGCCAGGACGCGCATTGCCAGGAGGACATTTAACTATCTTCCTCGGCAGGCGAGCCCTTCAGACGCGCGCCAATCTCTACTCGTGGGCTCCCGTCGTCGCCCTCCACCTCCACCTCCACCTCCTCCTCCTCCTCCTCCTTCCTCCTTTTCCTCCTCCTCCTCCTCCTCCTCCTCCTCCCTCCCCCTCCCCCTCCACAATTACACAATATGAATACTACTCTCCTCTCTCCCCTGATGACGTCCGGAAGATATCTGACCCCCTTCTGCGTACTGATTGTTTTTACCGGATTCCCGGGAAAAGGGTTTTCGTTTGGGTGCTTTGTTCAAAGTGCTGTTCCCGCTGAAGCGGTGGCCCCATTTCTGCGCCTCTTGTAGTTGGAAAAATCGTGCTTCCGCTGCAGCGCGGGCGCTTTCGGTTCTTCCAAATAGGCCCCAACATTTAGAATCTGCCCCCTGAAAAAAAACACATCGGATATGATTACACATTCCGTGCCGGTTCGTTGATTTTTGGGCCGCAGAAGCTTTTTTGGGGGGCGTCGTCGTTTTCAGGAAGCAGACCAGCCCAGACCTCTCAAAGACGATCCACTTACCCTCGAAGGAACCCGGCGCCATGCTATGACATGGTGTGCGGTGTTGTGTTCTGCGCCGTTGTGCGATGCCATGCTTTGCGTTGCAATGCTGTGTGATGCAATGCTTCACTGCACAATGCCACGCCATGCTATGGCAGCTATGCTCTGCCGTGCTCTTCTACGCCATGCCATGCCGTGCTCTACCATGCATCGCGCACCCTCGCACGACCATTGCCCTGCTCGACCTCCGACTGTGCGAATAGAACGGATATCTACGCCACGTTAAGGGATGGGAGGGAAGGGCAGGACATCAGATATGACGCGAGCGCACCTAGCTTATCCTCCTCCCTCCCCCTCCCCCTCCCCCTCCCCTTTACAATTACACAATATGAAAATACTCTCCCACTTCCCCTGATGGCGTCCCGAAGATATCCGACCCCCCCGCGTATTGTTTTTTTACGCACAGGATTCCCGGGAAACGGGTTTTCGCCTGCGTTTTTTTCAAAATGCTGCTCTCGCTGAGGCGCCGGCCTCATTTCTGCTCCGGAATCGTTCCGAATCGTGCTCCCGCTGCAGCGTGGGCCTCATTTTCGGATCGGTGTTTGGCCTCCGTCGTTCAGGATGGCGTTCTCGCCCCAGCGCGGGCCTCTTTCTCGCGCGCCCATCCGCCCGCCACCACCGCGCCGCACCACCACCACCACCACCACCACCACCACCACCACCACCACCACCACCACCACCACCACCAGCACCACCCACCACCACCACCACCACCACCACCACCACCACCACCACCACCACCACCACCACCACCACCACCACCACCACCACCACCACCACCACACAACCACGCACACACGCACGCACGCACGCACGCGCACCACCACCCACTACGCACGCGCGCGCGGAGCCACAGGTCCGCTACGACACGCGTCCGCGGATAGAGAAAATCAGCGCCATGGTAAGGGATGGGAGGGAGGGGTAGGACGTCAGATATGACGCGAGCGCACCTAGCTTGTCCCCCTCCCCCTCCCCCCCCCTCCCCCCTCCCCCCCTCCCCCCCTCCTCCCTCCCCCTCCCCCTCCCCTATACAATTACTCAATATGAATACTACTATCCCTCTTCCCCTGATGACGGTTTGAAAGTGGCCGACCCCCCCCCCAGCGTATTGTTTTTTACACACAGGCTTCCCTGGAGTTTGGTTTTCGCTTGCATTTTTTCAAAATGCTGCTCTCGCTGAGGCGCCGGCCTCATTTTCGGGCCCCGGTCGTCCCGAATCGTGCTCCCGCTGCATCGCTGGCCTCATTGCGGTGCTTCCGCTCGTTCCGAATCGTGCTCCCGCTGCAGCGCTGTCCCCGCGCGCTCCGCTCGTTTCGACTCGTGCTCCCGCTGCAGCGCTGGCGTCATTTCCCGTGCCATGCCACGGCATGCAATGCAATGCTAGGTTGATGCTACGCTTTGCGGTGCTCTTCTACGCCATGCCATGCCGTGCTCTACAGTGCATCGCGCACCCTTTCGGGATCATTGCCCTGCTCGACATCCGACTGAGCGACTAGAGAGGGGATCTGCGCCATGGTAAGGGATGGGAGGGAGGGGTAGGATGTCAGATATGACGCGGGCGCACCTACCTTGACCCTCCCCCCCCCCTCCCCCTCCCCCTCCCCCTCCCCCCCCCCTCCCCTCCCCTCCTCCCCTCCTCCTCCTCGCCCTCCTCCTCTTCCTCCTCCTCGTCCTCCTCCTCCTGTTCCTCCTCCTCCTCCTCGTCCTCCTCCTCCTCCTCCTCCTCCTCCTCCTCCTCCTCCTCCTCCTCCCTCCTCCTCCTCCTCCTCCCTCCTCCTCCTCCTCCTCCTCCTCCTCCTCCTCCTCCTCCTCCTCCTCCTCCTCCTCCTCCTCCTCCTCCCTCCCCCTCCCCTCCTACCTCGTCCACGGCCGCGCGAGCGCGACTCGCTGGGTGGAACGCGGCCACTCGGGCGTGGCCACACCGCTTCTCCCCCCGCCCCGTCGCCGCCGCCATGGAGGAGGAGAACTTGGCATCGCTCGGACTCGTCGTCAACGTCATCGTAATCGCCGTCGTCGTCGTCGTCGTCATCGTCGTTGTCTTGGACGTCTCCCTTGGGACCTCCGGAGGCCATCTCGGGCCAATGTCGAGGGGGCGATCTTCCCCCAAGAAGGCTCTGGCACACCTTGGCCGAACGCACCTGCTCTGCTCCCGACTTGGCATCGCTCGGACGTGTGCATTCTTCTTTCGGCGAGGACCATCGAGGAGCATCCCTGCTCATTTGGCAAAAACAACCACGCACGAGACCGAAAAAAACACAGAGATTGGACGTCCGAGCGATGGCCAGTGGAGGAGGAGAAGGAGGAGGAGCCCACCCCGCCGCCCTCCCCCGAGGCACTGCTGAAGGACCGGTGGGACCGCGCCCGCCACTTCCTCAGCGTGGCCAGGCGCGTGGCTCCGTCGCCGCGCCCTCGTCACCGTCGCCACCGCCGTCGCCAGTTTCCCTCGTGGTGGCGGTGATCGTGGCCGCCGCCGTCGTATCGCACCGGCCGCTCGCCCGCCGTGATCGCAGTCGTCGTCGTCGTCGTCGTCGTCGTCGTCGTCGTCGTCGTCGTCGTCGTCGTCGTCGTCGTCGCGGTCGCCGTCGTCGTCGCCGCAGCCGCCGCCGCCGTCGTCCTCGCCACGCCGCGGCCGCTTTTGCACCCTCGAAGTCGTTTCCGCCGCCGCCGCCGTCGTCAATGTCGCCGTCATTCTCGACGTCGACGTCGTCAACGTCAATCGCAATCGCCGTCGTCGTCGACGTCGTCGTCGTCGTCGTCGTTGTCTTGGACGTCTCCCCTGGGGCCTCCGGAGGCCACCTCGGGCCAGTGTCGAGGGGGCGAGCTTCCCACAGGAAGGCTCTGGCACACCCCGGCCGAGAGCGCTCCTGCTCCGCTCCCGACCAAAAGCCTTGCCCTCCGTCTCTGCGGGGCGGGGCACCGCCTCGCTCCAGTATCCAGGAGGGGAAAAAACACACAGACACAATTGATCGTCGATTCCCCCCGAAATATGGGGAAATATGGGATGGAGGCGGGGGAAGACAAAAGCCCAGAAAACATGGGAAAATAGTGGGAATTCTTTTCTTTGTGTGTGCATTTCTTTGTGTGCCCCAGGGCCCCTTCAAGTGTGGTAGGCGCATGGCCCCTCCTCCTCCGCGTGCCTGCCCCTCCCTTCGCCCTCCCTTCTCCTTCCCCCCTTCTTCGCCGAGTCCACCTTTTCCATCCTCCCTGAACCATCCCTGTTCCTCCCTCCTCCTCCTCCCTCTCCCTTCTCAATTCTTGCCCCGTCTCAATTCTTGCTCCTCCTCAATTCTTGCTCCTCCTCAATTCTCGCCCTCCCTTCGCTTCCCCCCTCCTTCGCCGAGTCCCCCTTTTCCATCCTCCCTGAACCATCCCCGCTCCTCCCTCCTCCTCCCTCTCCCTTTTCAATCATTGCTCGTCTCTCTCTCTCTCTCTTGTCTTGCGTGTTTCCTTGTTCGTAGGGAGCTATCTGCGTTGTATCGTTTGTTGTTGCTGCTGTTTCGTGTTGATGAGTGTGTGTGTGTTGTTTCTCCATGCCTCTACGTGTGTGCATGTATATAGCGGTGTAATCTAGATATGTATATATATATATATATATATATATATATGGCAAGGGCCGCTCCTGTCATCTACCTTTCTTTTTTCCTGGCGTTCGGAATGGTTAGAGAAAGGGTTTCATTCTATACAACAAACATAGAATCAACTCATATGCCTCCACAAATGATACCACGTGAAAGCCAACCACAATAGGATTCCTTTTGGAGACAGCTTGAAATTCTACTGTAGGGCATTACAAAAGGATTCCGATTGTATCCCAGGCAATCGGAATCCTTTTGTAAACATGTACAGAAGGATTCCTAGTGAACGCCATCAAATAAGATTCTTTTTGGAGGCAACATACGAGGAATCCTTTTGTAGGGCATCACAACAGGATTACTATTGTATCCCAGGCAATAGGAATCCAATTATCGTCAAACCTGTCGGAACCGCCGCCGACGGAAAAAAAGACAAACAATACAAAGAAAAGGCAACCTGGGGGAGCAACAATGCTGTGTTTTTAAGTGTAGAGCTGTTTTCCAATTGAAAAAAAAACAAGCTGGAACCTGCGCCTCCTCAAATTGATTTCTGGTAGTCGGCGCACAATCAGAGTCCTTGTATGTGCCTGCACACAAGGATTCCTATTACACGACTTCAATAAGAATCTTTCTGAGAGCCTTTCAAAAGGATTCCTTCTGTTTGGCGCTACAAAAGGATTCCTATTTTATCCCAGGCAACAGGGATCCTTTTGTAAACATGTACAGAAGGAGTCCTATTGAAAGCCATCCAATCGGATTCGTTTTAGGCAGCATATCAGGAATCCTGCTGTAGGGCATTACACCAGGAATTTCTATTGTATCCCAGGCAATAGGAATCCAAGTATCGGCAAATCTGTCGGAACCGCCGCCGACGGAAACAGACAAAAACAACAAAAAAGACAACCCAGGGGAGCAATCATTTTGTGTTTTTATGTGTACAGCTGTTTTTCAATTGAAAACCAACAAAGACCCCCAAAAAACAAGCTGGAACCAAAGAAACCCTTTGTTTTCACAGTGTTTGTGCCTCCTCAAATTGACTTCTGATTTCTAGTGGTCAGCGCACAATAGGAATCCTTGGGTGAGCCTGTACTAAAGGGTTTCTATTAGACTGCCTTCAATCAGAATCCCTTTGAAAACTTGTCAAAAGAATTCATTTTCTTTGGCGCTACAAAAGGATTCCTTGTGTGCAGGCCCACAAAATGGTTCCTATTGTGCGCCGACCAATAGAAATCACTTTGACGAGGCGCAAACACTGAAAACACAGGGTTTCCTTTGTTCCAGCTTGTGTTTTTTTCGTGTGTGTGTTTTTGTTTTCAAATGAAAACCAGCTTTACGATAAAAAAGGCAGCATCTTTGCTTCTTTTTGTTTTTTTCCGTCGGCGGCGGTTCCGACAGGTTTGCCTAAAATTGGATTCCTATTGCCTGGGGTACAATAGGAATTCTTTTGTAATGCCATACAGCAGGATTCCTGATATGCTGCCTCCGAAAGGAATCCTAGCGGATGGCTTTCAATGGGATCCTATTCGTACCAGTTTACAAAAGGATTCCGATTGTCTGTGATACGATAGGAATCCTCTTGTTGCGCCAAACAAAAGGAATCCTTTTGAAAGGCTTTCAAACGGATTCCAATTGATGGCCGTCCAGTAGAAATCTTTTTGTACAGGCTCACCCAAGGATTCTATTGTGCGCTGACCAATAGAAATCAACTTCCCCCAAGACGGTCCAAGAGGCCGCCGAGGAGACCCTCCAAAGGCAAAAATCAAGCATTTCCGATGGGAAAACGTACATTTCTGGGATATTTGCTTTTCAGTCCTACCAGCGGCCCCAGAGGCCCAAAAGACGGTTCCAAGATGGGCTAAAGAGAGCTTCAAACGGCACAGAAGAGTTACAAGACGGCGCAAGAGAGCCCCCAGGAAGCCCGAGGGGACCACCAGAGGATTCCTACATGGACGGAGAGGGCTCCAGGCGGGCCCCAAGACGGGCTGAGCTCCCCACGACGAGCCAAGAGGGACCCGGAACGGCCGAAATGGGCCCTGAGACGGGCCAACAAAGGCCCCAAAGGACTCCAAAGGAAGGCCCGGAGAGGCTCCAGAGACTGCCACAATGCTTCCCAAAAGGCTCACGGCACGCGTTCCAGTACGTACCCGTTTATTGGGTGCGCTGAGAAAAGAGAGGAGGAGGACAAGGAGGAGGAAGAGGAGCAGGAGGAGGAGGAGGAGGAGGAGGTGGGAGGAGGAGGAGGAGGAGGAGGAGCAGCACGAGGAGGAGGAGGAGGAGGAGCAGGAGGAGCAGGAGGAGGAGGAAGATCAGGAGGACGAAGAGGGGGAAGAGGGGGAAGAGGAGGAGGGACATTGTTCTTGTAAGAATATCTTGTTCTCTGATTCTCTGGCTCGGGGAGGGGTGCAGAGGACGAGGTGGGAAGGGGAGCGCAGGATGTGAAGTAACTAGGTGAAGGAACACAAGGAGGGACACACCGAAGAGCGGAGAAGAGGAGGAGAAGGAGGAAGAAGGAGAGGAGAAGGAGGAGGAGGTGAAGGAACAGGGATCCCTTTCAGGGAGACGCCGACGAGGAAGAGGATGAGTTTAAGATGATGGGAAGAGGGAGGGAGGGAAGAGGAGGGAAGGGGACTGCAGTGGACCTGGGAAGATTGCGGCGATGACGCTGATGATGATGACGATGACTATGCCGACGACTATGCCGACGACGATGCCGACGACGACCAACACAACACGATGTTGATGATGCGGATGCTGATGCTGAAAAGTACGATGACGATGCTGGCGATGGTGATCACGATGCTGATGATAATGGTGATAATGATGATTGTTGTGATTGTGATGTTGAAGACGACCATGACCATGACGATGACGATGAAGATGACGGTGATGAGGATGACACTGGTGACGATGATCATGACCCTAGCTAGAATTTGCGCGCGCGAAGAGCGCGCGATGATTCTAGCATATCTATGTATATCGAAATATAGGTATATCTGACTATCTATGGATATATATATATACATATAACGATAGGTCCGGATATTTACTTGTATGCACACGTGCCCATCGATCCAGCTACATGTATATTTGTATAGATGTACGCATTTGTGTATGTTCATGAATGTGTATATATATGTATATATGCATTCATGGATGCATGCATGTATACATGCATTCATGCATTTATGCATGGATGTACGTGCATACGTACGTGTGTGTATAGTTGTATGTATGTATGTATGTATGTATGTATGTATGTATGTTTGTTTGTTTGTTTGTTTGTTTGTTTGTTTGTGTGTTTGTTTGTTTGTTTGCCTGTATATATATATATATATAATATATGTATATGTGTGTATGGATGAAGATGAATGTATTTTTGATACATCCATATACACAGATGTATATGTTTGTGTTGATTCTCCCGACCATCGCCGTACTAACTCAGGAGGCCCAAGCGGCTTGCAGGGTGCTTTTCGGAAGCAGTTTTGACCCCTTTTGGGGGCTGTTTTGGCGTCTCTTGGGTCCGTTTTAGGGCCTCTTGGGGAGCTGGGGCCCGTTGGGGGGGTCTCTGTGGGGGTCCTTGGTGCCTCTCGGGGGCCGTTTGGGGGCCCCCTTGGGCCGTCTTGGGCGCCTCTTGGGCCGTCTTGGGGCCCTCTTGGGCCGTCGTTAGGGCTTCTTAAGTGCCTCGTGGGCCGTCTTGGGGCGATCTGGGGCGCGTCTTGGACCGTCTTGGAGCGTTGGGAACGTGAGAAGTTGCTGATGCAGAACATGTACGTTTTACGTAGGGAATTTGGCAGTTTTGGCCTCTTGGGG